GTTGTATAAAACATTCTTGAAGTATATGTGTATGTCTTTTAAGTATATGTGGTCTTCAGCCTGCTGCTGAAACTCTTGCTAAGCTTAACATTTCAATGATATCCAATTCTTTCCTCTACATTCTTTCTCAGGTATTGATTTACACCTCTCAATTAGGACCTACTTGACTGTCTCATTTTCAAGAATTCCACAGAAAGAAAAACATTAATTATAATTTTCAGTGTGATTTGGATATAGCAATGCCTGCTTGTTTTCTTTTACTAATTCCGTTGCCTATTTCTCTTCACATGCTAAAATGTTTCAGTTTTATATTTTGGTTATGTATGCTAAAAAATGTTCTGTGATAGTGCTTGTTCCTATCATGTTTTAAATAATTTTATGCATGCTCTATGAAGATTCTTTTAGCTGATTTCAAGATTAATTCAGCTTTAACAGCTTCAGCAACGCTGTGATTATACTTGTAGATTTTACTTAAAATGACTGAAACTGGCATGCACAAAGTAGAATCTTTATATTATGGTAACTTGGCGATTTCTTGGCAAAAATTTGGCGACCAACCCTGCTACAGCAATCTGCTAGTTTTGTTTTGGACGCCATTTTGTTTTCACGAAGTAAAGGCATGTTTTTTTTTTTTTTTTTTTTACTCAACATTTTTTTCCAACAATCTGCTAGCCGAATTACACTTATACTAGAACTTTTATGGAACAAAAATGCGTAATCATGATGAAGATTAGGTGCGAAATTGGGAGAAAGTGCAGAATCGAAAACTGCTTGTCGCGTTTTTAAGAATTGCACATACACGGTATCCATGTACACATCGGCCTATTTTCACTTTAAAAAAATATCCCAGAATTGCACAAAAATAGTATTGCGCACACTCTTGACTTTATCTATGTACACATTGACCTATTTTCACTTAAAAAGTCAAAGAAAATTGACAAAAATCCAATTCTTCTTACTCTTGTAAAAAGCGCCAAACAAATAAGTGGGCTATTCTGCACTTTAGCAGCAAAATTGTTTCTAAATGCTTATTAGCTAAAATCGCGATCGGAATTTTCCGGAAAATGTCACATTACATGTCTCATAATCTCTCATTTCTCTGAGACAAAATAATCTGTGATTCAAACTGTGTACGTCTCAGACTATTGCTAAAGTCCTAGCTAGTAACCTTTATCGCCGTACCAAAATGTCGCCAAACTACCTGTTACCATATTCTAAAGATTAGCCTCTACATTTTGTTTAACCCTGTGAATTCTATGCTTTATCCGGTCACGAACTCTAGCTTTATGAAGTCATGAGATTTTTTTGTCACTCTCTAAATATCAGCTTATAATTTAAGATATTTTGCTTTCTTAAATAATGTAAATATCATCCTAATAAATGTAAGTTTATGAAAATAGAGACTAAAAAAAGTAAATAAACAAATTTAGCTAATAAATGCTATTTAAATCCAGGCCTTCATGACAGATCCCAAAACCTGGGCTGCTCAGAGGATTAAAAGAAACAAGAAGAAAAATAGCTTACTCCAAAGTAGTATTAGGAACTTTTGACTGACTTTTCTATTGCAATTTTATTCTTTTTGATAATTTACATGAAAATTAGCCACTTCAGTACTCTTTCGTTATCATAACCAGATTAAAAAATGTATGTTTATATGCATGTATGTATGGATGGATGTTGTTTATGTATACATATATGTGTGTGTTTATGTGTGCATATATATGCACATACATACATATACACATGCAGACATATATACATTCTATAGGTTTCTAGAAGGGCAATCTACCAAGTTCCAACCTATTTCAGATGACAATATTTAAACCTATTTATTAAATTCAGCTCAAACAAGCTGATGATTTCAAAAATATTTTATGATTTAAATAACATTTAACATATTGTTGCATGCATACAGGTTCCTAGTGGATTGAATGCTTGATAAAATTTATTTTCCAGAAAGAAGCACTTTACATTTATCATTAGTTACCCTTTCAAGCTGCTAAGAACAATAAACACAAAACATTATAAAAGGCCTCAAATGTATAACCTTGTACTGTGATCTCTTAGTACTCGAAACTAAACTTAAAATGATGCTGTCTCCAGTCTTATATAGTTTTACCCCGTCTGCCAAGAAATTTCTGTACCTTCGACATCTCGAAATTGCAGAAAGCTATATATACTGCTGGATAGTTACATTTACATAGGGATCAGACCAGTTACAGTTTCATAGGTCTAGGAACAAAATATCACCAAAATTTGACAACTAAAATTAGTCTCTGAAATCATCGCCAATTTGACAAGATAGCCATTCATCTGAATGTTAAATGCATTTGTGTCCATAATCTTATTTTTCTGGCAGAGTTTCAGACTTTTCATGTTAAAGTTCTTAACAATATATTTAAATCTTTGGCTAATAAATTAAGTATATGAGTTGAACAATCGTACAAGCTGGAAATTGTTTTCTAATTCTTTTCCCATTATGTTATATTTGCTTTATTATCAGTTACAGAACTACAATTTTTACAATTAAATTTATTTTCAACTATTTTAATAGAATCAACAGCAGAGATAGTCAACTTTTACTTGTGTATGGTGTCAATGATATATCATTAGTTTCTACAAATTCTACTTTTCAATCTACACTCATGTCCATAAATTAAGGATAATGCAAAATCAGGCAAAGGAAGAGTTAGAAGCAAAACAAATTTGACTTATTTGTAAAGCTTATTTATTAAACAAAAGGTAAAGAGCAAAAAACGATGCTATATGTTTGATATTATTAAAAAATAGCGATTTTTTCTCCCTGGAGCAAATTTAAAAAAAAAAAAAAAAAAACTATTTACAAAAAAAAAAAAAAAATATTACATGGTTGGTATGATTGTTAATACATTGTATGTCTCCCAGACGATGCAATACAGTCTGTACAACATCTAGGCATGCTGAGTATCAAATTATTCATCTGATCTTGGGGGATATTACACCACTCAAAAAGCAATGCTATCCGAAGTTCTTGTAGACATGTAGGAGGAGGTTGACGGGCTGCAACTCGTCGGCCAAGAATGTCCCACATGTGCTCTACTGGACTCAAGTCCTGTGAGAATGCTGGCCAGTCCATACGGGTGATAGCCTCCGATTGAAGGCATTCGCTTACGATGTTTGCACAGTGAGGACGGGTGTTGTCATCCATAAACACAAATTGTGCACCCATGGCGCCCCGAAACAAATGTACATATTGTTCCAGAATGACGTCCCGATAGATTTGGATTGTCATGGTTCCAATTTGAACATGCAGGTCAGTTCTGGAACCCAGAATAATTCCAACCCAAACCAGCACTCCTGCACCACCGTAATGGTGTCGTTCAATATTTTCTTGGTGGTAACGGGTCCCTGGAGCTCTCCATATGAAAATCCGGTGAGAATCAGACTGCAAGCCAAACCTGGACTCGTCGGAAACATCACACAAGCCCACTGTTGCGGTTTCCATAATGCATGCTCTCTACTCCAGGCTAACTGCAGGCGACAGTGACTTGCAGTAAGTGGAACGCATCTGACAGGTCTACGAGCATATAGACCAATCTGCCCTAAGCGTCTGTTCATGGTCTGCCTCGAAATTGTCGTACCAGTGGCTAAAGAGAGCTAACGAGACAGGTCTGAGGCTGTGCTTCGCCTGTTTCTTTTGGCAGTAACTGCCAAATACCGGTACTCATTCGGCATTGTAACTCTGGGGCGACCTGTGCTGTAACATCTACTCACACTACTATCATCTTGGAATCATTGCCAAAGCCTGGAGATGACATGACACTCTGGGCAATTCCAAGTTCGTCTGATACTTCCAGTTGAGTACGCTCACATTCCAGACGGCCGATAATTCTACCACGTAAAAATCATCCAAATGCGTCCTTTGTGTCATAACTATTCGGTTATTGCACTGAAATGCTTATAAAGCACCTGCGAACAATTTTACTTCTTTGCCTGTATTCCTTATATATCACTCTCTTACACTCTCATCATTGTGACGTACCATCGTGTCATCTAGTTACTTCCTGAAATTTGCATGTGATTCTTGAAGATGTGTGTAGTGATTTTACAGGTGATATATTTATTTTAGAGTTCGATTTCTGCGTGACTCCGAATTATCCTTAATTTATGGACATAGTGTATTATAGTAACAATTGCAGATTGTTGCTTTATTATGAATGTTTTACCAGCGTCATATGTACTCTGTACTTTTTAATTAATTAAAACATTACTACATTTCTGCTATACTTCTTTCTATATATTATTTAATAATTTACCATTTAAATCACATTTAGATGTGGATTTATATCCAGAATACAGCATTGCCATTAGTTTTATGAAAGAAGGGTTTTTTGCACTGTAAAGTGATGAATTTTTTGCATAAAAAAATTACCTGTTTGATGATCTGTTTTAGATTTTTGAGAAAATGATGTTTTTACAACATATTTATCAAGATCTTATACCATGTATTTTGAATTAGTACATTCATCATAAAGTTTATGCTTGATATGAAATGACAGAAGTGACACATTTTCTTGCATTGTACTAACATGGCTTATTTAAAATATTTTAAGCAACTTTACTTTTTTAAAAGCTTCATTTTTTTTAATCCATTAATTAAAATTTCTTTAAAAGCATTGCAGACTTTTATTTTTTTAATATTTCTCATCATTTAAAAAAAATAGAAGACTGTGATTGTAATCAGTGTATACATTCATTTCTGAGTCCGGTCCTGATAGCAAAATACTTTTTTTTTAATCTGCTGATTAGACTATTGACAACCTGCCTTCAGTTAAAAAGTGTTTAGAGAAGTAAACATGTATGTATTCTCATACTACAAACAGTATTTTGTTTCTTAGCATGTTTTATTGAAAACATTTATAACTAATGTATCACATAATAAAAAAAATGCATCTTCTTCTATATTGAGAAATTTTAATAAGCTTACATAATATGTAATTTGTATGTGTGATATCTTTCAGTTTTATACTTCAAAGAGCAGAAGACGAAAATGAACCAGGTTTCATGTACTACTTTTTATCATCAATTGCTGATGTTGCAGCCAATCGTTTCATTAATAGTAGTACCATCTATTTTTCACCAAATATGTCATTTACACCATCATATAAAGGCTTTTTTAATAAAACCATGCCACTGTTTGCACCTCGAGCATTCAGGTAAGCAATATTTTTTTTCCATTATTTAATTTCCAATTTAATTTTGTTACTTGCATAATGTAGATTACATATATAAAAATTTTAATTTTTGAATTACATTTATTTCTAAGAATTTTAATATTTTCAATTTAATAATTTTTTTCATCATATATTTGCTGTGATTTCTTGATTATTTGTTTTCAACTATCTGTTTTTTAGAACTTTCATCATTATATAAGTTGGTTATATGAGCAGCGTAAAGGAATATCGTCTCCATCAAATAACTAAATTCATAATTAGTAGAATAGTTTGATATAAAATCTGTTGTGTAGAAAAATAACTCAAACTATTAAAAGAATGAGTTGATATTAACTGAGAAAGTTATTCTTGGTCTTAATTTCTGTCAGCATATTTTAAGCAGTGTCAAATATAAACTCTTAAATTATTAACAGGAAATGTTTAAAATCATTATTGTTGCTAATTTCTGTCAATATATTTTAAGCTGTGTCAGATATAAACTCCTAAAATTAGTACTTAACAAGAAATGTTTAAAATTATTATTGTTTCCATATTATAAGTGAAAGAAATATTTACTGTCTTAGAAAATCATTTGTTTAAATGTTCCTACACGTAAATAATAATTGCTTTCTACATCAAGTGATGTAGAAAGGATATGGAAATACCCTTAGTAAGTTAATTTTTAATGATATTTACATACATAATATTAAAAAACTAAGTGTCTGTTATTTTTGTTTTATATTCATTGTAAATTAAATAGGAGTGTAATTGAATGTAAGAAACTAGATGTTTACATGTCATTATCTCTGCAGTTTTAAAAATTAAGTTATAATTAATTCCCTGTGAATGGATCAATCCACATTTCAGAGTGTTCAAAGAGGAAGAACTTCTCAATGATTAGCAAAGGAGAATGAAAAATGAGGCAATGCATAAGCTATCATTTTTTTCGCTTTCCAGAAATATACATTCAGTATAACTCTACATAAAAAAAATAAGCAACCCCTCCTTTTTTTTTTAAAGATATCTTTTAAAAAGTTGAGAAGTGAGACTGAATATTGATACCCTGAACAGTGCTGAAAGAGCATTCCTAGAAGCAAAATATTAAGCAATACAGTATTTATTGGAGACATTTTTAGTGCATAATGAATAAGGACAGGAGAATATATGGCCAGGAATAAATTAATTTTCAAGTACTTGAAATAACCAGGATGTACTGTATTTTATAAGTTAAGTTTTCTCAAGTCTTGCTTTTTCTTTGTATTAAAATAAATATAGATATTCTTGCAACTTTTGACCTACCGGGCTGTTATGTTGGTAGGATTTACTTAATTAAAAAATTGTACTCTCTGATTATCCATCCAATCCTGACAATTATCAGTGACAGCTCGTATAATTACCAGGCATGTTGTCAAAGTAGGCAACTCAAAATTTTACAAAAATGTGTTTATCAATGCAACCCATAATGGTTGTATGTGTATCATGTGCTATTGCAGTACTCAAGGTTTGGAAATTCAAGGGTCATGTTCATGGCTTCTGCTTGCTCTAGTGCGTGGATTTTTTCCCATCTTGTAACAAAACATAATGACTCTGTGAAGTTTGCCTACGGCTTATTGCATAGTAGTAAGATCGTAATATGGCTTTTTGCATAGTCATAGTAGTAACAAGAGAGTAGAGTGTAAGAATGTGCTTTCCATGAAGTTACATTTTACAAATGATTATTACAATGTACTGATGTTTTTCTTAGTGATAATAGCTTTTCTAAATTTGTTCAGTTCTCTGTTGTTTTTTCCAAGCTTGATGGAAAGCTATGCCAAGTTGCTGTGCTAATGCCATTCATTCTGCATTTTTTTTTTTTTTTTTTTTTTTTTTTTTTTTTTTAGTTAAAATAGCTCGATGTGTACACGGAGAGCAGCATCAAGTAAGTCACTTCTTGGTGCTGTCATAGTCCTCAGTAAGTAATTTCTGATGTTGGTCTAAAATTTCAAATATTATAGTTAACTCTGCTTAGTGACAAGGGGGGTTATATACAGTTTCTTTCAGAAATTGTGATTCTTCATTTCTCACTTTTGAATGTTTCAAGTGTAGATTTTTATAAAATTGTTATGGAATTTATTTTTCTGTGAGTAATCATAAATAATTTTGTGTATATTATTTTAAAATGTCTTTTTAGTTATTTGCTTAGAGAGTCATAGTGTTTTAATACCTATATGCATTATGTCAGACTAGTTAAACAATTTGATATGTATTATTTTAAATTATAAGTATTAATTTAAAATCAATAATTTAATTAATTAATTAATTTAATTTAAAATCATAGGTCTGATGATTTTAATGATCCATTTCACTTGGAACGTATATCTACCTTAAACACCATTGAAGCCATTGATTTAGGAGCAGTTCCAAATAATTCCATGAGCATGAATTATACACATCCTCATTACAAAATCAATGAATGGTATTTTGCATGGCTCCCTGATTTTACTAAACGACAAGATTCGAAAACAACTTATTCAGTCCAGATTACTCATGCTAATGGCACAAATGAAACATATGTATGGCATGGACCACCAGGTATGGAATTTTAAATATTTTTATATGTTATTAATGTTTGCAGTTACACATGTTTGTGTGTAATGCAGTATATTTTTGATTAGAAAATGTATTTTAATTTTTTTCAGCTTTCATTATTTTCTGGCCCTTTAAATTGTCTGAAGTTTATGAAGAAATTATGCAATAATGTCATATGTCAATTTATATAACAATAGCTGTGTCAGTAAGGTAGCAAATAGATTTCTGAATACAGTAAACTCCCTCTTAACTGGCTTGAATGGGACTGGGAGTATGCATGTTTAGAGAAATTCCACTTAAAGAGGAGAATGGGAAAAAATATTTAATTGGTGGAAATGCACTTTTTTTATAGCTAAAGTAAGCATTTATTAAATTTGTCAATTTAGTACAAGCAGGAATGTTTAAAAAAATTCAATCATTTTTTTCTGCTGAAGCTTGGAAATTTGACGACTTGCTGCATAATTTCACCATTTTTTATTAAAGCATTACATCAATGGAGGAAGCCGATGCCTGTTGTCCCAAATAGCATAAAGCCATTTCCAGTGCTTTATGATCAAATTTACTTATTTTTATATGGTATTTAAAATACATAATTACGGAATTTTCATTTTTTTGTAAATTTTTAAATTTTTGTATTAAATTAATTACAGCCATATAAACGAAGATCTGATTAAACGGAAGCCGCTTGCTAGGCTTTTACATTACCCAGTATTCCTGTATGGACAGTTAGTTACCCATTGCAATTTGGGTTTACGGTTGTCTGTTATATTATCTACTCAGAACATAGGCTCTATCTTCAGTGCCTCTGTCATCGAAATGTTGTTAGAATGTTTCTTTTGTTATTTTTCATGAACTGGCCATCACATCTTTTTTGAATGGCAGAAATTATCTTGAACGCATTAATTTGATAGAAGATGAAAGAGTAGAATCAAAGGGTGAGAAATTTGGCAAATAAGATGCTTGTAGAGATCTGTTTGTGAATAAAAATCCAAGTTTCTTTGCTCAGAGTGTAGTATCATACCAAATATTTGAAAGGTACTTTAATTGCATTTACCTTACAACACAAATCATGCTGTCCTGGATGATATTATTTGAGATATCCCCCCCTGTCATAGTACACAGAATATCCTGCAAAATATTAAGAAAACTGAGCTTTGTGCAGATAGGCACTCTTATGGAGGGGGGGGGTGAAAATGTGAAAGATGAAAGATAATGAACCAGTATAGCAAATGTAATTGCATGCAGATAATCTCATCTTATTTAACATCCAAATTCTATTATTGGAAAATTCGTGCATGTAACCTGACTTTTCTGCAAACTTCTTCATTACATCCTTGAAAGTATGCATAACCTTATAATGTGTTCAGAATTTGAGAAATTGCTTTCTATTTATTTTATCATACTTCTCTGTTTCTCATGTGGACTTTATTATCTTCTTTTGTTCTCACAAAGTAAATGTTGTTCTGATAAGCAAACTAACTGAAATAGTTTATAGTTAATTATTATGTATCAGGTTGCCACCAAAATATCTTCTAATATTGTAATTGGTACAAGTGATTGGCAAAATTATTTTTGTATATGCATCTACTTAAATAAATATTTGATAACAATTTAATTAAAATATATAATATAATTAAAATAAATATTTTTACTTACATTATCATGACGATGCTGGTGATAATTTTTTTGTATAAACAATTATATTTTTAATAGCTGCTTCTGATAATCCTGGACCAGTGAAATGGTTTCAACCTTATTTCGATTGTGATCGATCAAATAAATGGGTTTTTGGTGCTACAGTACCTATCCCAGATATTTTCCCCCGACATACTCAGTGGAGGCATATTGAGATACCAACGTAAGTTCTTCTTGTTTTATATTATCTCATTTTGTTAGGAAATCTAAATGTTCCTATAATAGAATGGATCTAATTTTTTGTTTTTCCAGTAAAATTAAATCAGAGTTGCCAACTCACCTGATTTCCAAACGTACATCCGCAATCTGATTTACAACCTATTTCCCTTACCTTTCTCATATTCTTAAAATTTAACACAGTTTTTATGTAGCTGCTTGGCTTAATATTTTATTATTTGCATCGAAAAAGAATTATTTTTAGTGTCTGAAAGCATTTACTTTTTCTCTAGTTTACATATTAAAAAAAAAAAAACGAAGTCATTTTATCAGTGAGATATTACCATACTCTTCTGCTTTGTGTGTGAGAGCATATGTGTCCAAAAACATCATGCTGCAGTTCTCCGATGAGCATCAGCAGGTCATGTGGCATACATTAGCCAATAAGCAGAAGGAAAGATTGAGGTTGTAATTTCATTCATCTCGCCGCTTAGCATTGTGAGTTTCATGTGTTTTTGAGAAAGATGTTAAATTGTGACCTTAGTTAATTCTGCAAAAAAAGGTAAAATACTGTTGTACTTTTAAAAAAATGTACACAGATGGCTTTTCTTCTGCTATTTCATGAAGAAAATGCAGTACATTCATGATGTGTACCGTTTGTCATTACAATTTTTCGATTTCGCATAGTGGAAGGACTGTTATTCTTAAACATGTGTGTACACAAACATGAGTTATATTGGGAAAAAGTAAAATTTTTCTGGGAAACAAAAAGTTATTAATGTGGAATACCTGCTGTCTACCTTTTCACTGGAGCATAACCTTCTACTGAATACTTATCGGATCATGCTGCAGCTTTATTTAAAATAATGTTTACCAATAGTGAAATTGCTAAGAAATGCTCCAGTACAAGGAGAAAAATGACTGCAATTGTTTAAGAAATGGATATGAAAAATAAATCTTCAGTTATTGATTACATTAAAATAGCTCCATTCTGCTTCTCTGTGGATGGAAACAAAACTGTATCCAACTGTTGTTTCTTTCTTTAATCCAGAGTCTTAAGAAATTGAGTGTAGTATTCTTTGTGAATTTTTCTGAGTGTAGTTTTCATTCTTTTTAATTTCCACTTTAGAAAGGGACTTGACATGCTTTAATATAGCACAGCTAATTATTAAAACTTTAAAAGAAAATGCAATGGATAGTTGCTTAGCATTTGGTGTCAACAGTGTGCCAATAAGGGTAGGCTTGAATATTGATGGTGCAGGCATCTTAATAAAAGAAAATTCAGATTTGCAAATTATGAGCTACACCTGTAACCTCTTAACTTTAGCAGCTGAACTTAAAAGGGGACAGGTGTTTTGAGAGTAAATGTGGATTATAACACATTATTGATATTTATTATTATCTGGAAAAGATAGGGTTCATACGGTTCTTAAGAGTCCTTAAAAGTCCTTAAGTTTTTTTTAATCGATTTTTGGTCCTTAAAAGTCCTTAATTTTGGCCAAAATCGGGAGAAAGTCCTTAGTTTTAATCATCTGAAATTTCTTTTTTTACAACTGTCATTTTGAGTGGGAATTAGCATTTTGGAGGAATATTTTTGGTGATTCGCTGACAAATCTGGTTATCTTTTGAAACGTGTAAATGCGTTCATGGGTTTTAATTTGTTCCTATTTCTAATATAAATGGTGGGATAGAGTTTCTGAGCAAGAAGTGAAACATAAGCATTTCGAAATTAATTCATTTTTATTAAACAACTTTTCGCTTTTGGGGATGTGAATTCTTTTAAGTATCTCTTCCGGGATCTCTCGATCAGAGATCTGGGAATTTTTCGACGATTTTTTTAGAACATCGTAATATTGATAAATTTCATTTAAATAATGGCAATTTATTGATTGTAATTATATTTAAGAAATAATATTAAAATAAAGCATTTTATTTTTCTCTGTCATATTATAAAGTTCCATTTTGGCCACTTACTCGTATTATACAATATTTTGAATCTAAAAAATAAGCAAGGTATACTACTATAAAGCACAATTTACAAAACAGTTCTTAGCAATAGCAAAATAAGCTACGGAATTAATTAAAAATGTCTTTTTAATTTTTTTCATGGTAAGAGTTTTCCTATGTAATTGTCTCATAATATTTAGAATTATCAGAATTTGCATCAGTTTTCTCTATAAAATTAATCTTTTCCTCCGGGGGGGGATTTTAGACATTGGAAAGTTTAGAAGGATTTGAAGGCAAGATTTATAGACTCATGACTTTAGAAGATTCCAGAAAAATCAGACATAATGAAAAATGTGTCCATGGTACTAACACGTAATCTCTTACCTTTTTTAGAACGTCTGGAAGAACAATGAAAACAAATTAGTTGAATGCTTTAGTTCTGATACTAGAACCTTTTTCTTAACGTTTTTATCTTCCCTTTATTTTCTCTACTTTTCACTAGACACAAGATATGGATAGGCATTATAGAAAAGACGTTTTTTTTAATAAAGAAATTGAAAACTGACAATTTAAAAGATTCATCTAATCTATCTTAACGCGTCATACACGGGGCTGGCGCTAGGCATTTTCCCACCTAATGCAATCTCTTTGGATCCTAAATTCTGTCTCCAGTGCCTGTTCTAAATTCTAAACATTTTGCCATTTCTAGATTTTGTTACTGTGTCAATAAATTCTAAAAATTATGCCACAGCAGCTCTGTAATCGGACCTTACCATATATATTTCATATTTTTTCTGAATTTTCATATTACTAAAGAAATAAAATTAGCAGCTTTTTTACACACTTTTTCTATATACTATTTTTTAGAATAACAGAAACCTTTAATTAAATCCAAAAATACTAAATTGAAAAGGAAACGTAGAAGAAAGAAACTGAATACATAAAGAGAAAGAAAATTATTCTTCAAAGATATGTAGAGTTATTATTATGTAAATTACCCAGTTGTTTACAATTTCAGCCTTTACTATAATTTCTCATTTCTATTTTCTCACCAGAATGCAAGCCACTTAGACAGTTCACTTAGGTTTTTGGAGTGTAAAACAAGAGTGTGTTTCTGACCTCCACTTGCTCTCAGCATTAGATCCTCCCAGCTCTGATAATTTGCAATTATTCGTCTTTGCTTTACTGCTGCCAACATTTGAATTTGTTATGATGATAGCGTTACTGAGCCAGCTTAAAATGAAATTAAATTGTAAAGTCTTTGACCACTAGTCCATATTTTTAGTTCAAATTTGACTCTTCTTGTTTAATTACACCACCATAAGCTGTAACTGACTTTATTAGCATAGGAACATGCCTTTATGTCCAAAGTTATTTTTAAATAAGAAGCTTATTTAAACTTTTGTATGACTTTGTAGTTCCTTTTAGACATAGCGATAATTTGCTTTCACTTCTGTCAGAGATTTTGGACTATTTAACTTTTATCGGATCAAATAAAACCTCATAGGTACATAGTTAAGAGATTGACAAGTTAGGAGATAAAACACCCAGAAACAAGTGGGAATATTGGTTTGCTTATTGAAACAAATTTCTAATTGTTAGAAAAGATGCTTAAAGAGAAGGAAATCGATATAAATTAGCCAGAATGTCTGGAAAGGCTTCAAATTAAAAAGGTGCATAAATATTTTGTTGAGTATTGTTGCTACAAAATGTAAATGTTTTATAGCTTTTAATATGTAGTTATCTTAATATCATTTAATAATCATTGTCATAAATTGCATGTATTTTAAACTATGACATGTTAATAGATTGTGATTTTAATAGTGCTTTTAGCAAATATTTTTAAAAGATAAATTTAATAGTAGCCATATAAATCTATAATCACTAAGGGTATCTTATCTAGCTAATTTAATTATTTGTAATTAACTGATCACCCTTAAAAGTTTTCTCTGCACATTAAAGTGAATTATTACCTTTCATTAATCTTTACCGTGGTGACAAGATAGAGCACAAACGTGTAAAACTAAATGTAAAACTTAATTCTGTGCATCTAGTGAGACTAAAAATAATATAAAACATCTGATCAGCTCTGATGCTTCAGTGGCTTATTGGAACTTTAAAATACGTTAACTGGGTTAACCCCAGGAACTCTACACGAAGTTATGACACTAACTGCGTCAGTCGGGCAAAGTACAAATTTTCAAAATGTGCCAACCGTGCCTACATCAAGCTTTCAGGTTTGTTCTGATCAGCAGGCTTCTCTCTAAGCAAGCAGCAGTGGTGGCAACAGCCAGTCTTCTATAATGAATTATGCTGATTATGATTTTTTGTCTCATTTTAACCTATGGCGTTTGATATAAAATCTACTTGCTATTTACTAAACCTCTAAACTGGGCAAGTACTTGACAAAGTGAGACATAAAAGAAAAAAAAAAAAAAAAAACATAAAGCTAACTGTGAGTAAAACATAAATAAAATGTCACTAATCGTCTTTATAATTATGTTTTTTAAATTATGTTTAATAATAATGTATTCTACTGGTGAATCTATTTTATTCTTAGGATGGTATTACAAAAGTGAAGTTCAGGTGTAGCTAATATCTTTAATTGAATTTATTGTTGATGGGTCCTTAATTTTTTCATTAATGGTCCTTAAAAGTACTTAATTTCCATATGCAGAAATGTGTACAAACCCTGAAAGATTTCTAAAAGGAAAGAAAATTTTTAAACAATTCCAACAGCTGCATAGTACTGAAATAAGCAAAATTTTGAAATATGTATATGCACAATGGTTATCTTTAGAGAAATGCTTACCTAGAATCCTTGACCAATGGTATTCAACATGGTAAATACATTGGTGCATATGCCAGTCACATTTAAAGTAAAGATCGTGGATTGGTATTCATAGAGAGGTTTATTTCAGTATTACTAGAATTTTCTAACCAGTTTGATATGGCATGATAAGAATATCTGAAGTATCCTAGACTTTTCATGTTTGTCTGAATCTTGTGTATTAAATGTAACAAAAAAATACTTCATGTTAAAAAAGAGGGGGGAAGAAAATAGTTTTGAATCCTAATGCTGTCTATAGAATGATATTATGCTTTCTGAATTAAAAAAAAAAAAAAAACTTAAGAATCTGAAAATGTAACAAATAAAACTGAAGTGTCAGTTTTTTAATTCATTCTTTATTAATAAGATAAATGTATAAAGCAGGAAGAAAGATGTTGAAAAATAATTAAGATGGAAGTTACATATATTGTGAATGTTTAGGAAAATATGAGTTTATAATTAATTATGAATGATAATTAATGTTTACTAATATGTGTGGTATAATTTGAAAGCATTAGAATGTAAATTTCTTTTTTTAAAAAAAATTATTGGGGAGAGAATTCAAACAAAATCTTCAAAATAAAACCATTTTAAAAGTTTCTTAAGTAAAATAACAAAGAAAATTATTTTACATAAGCTACATATCACCAAGCTTGACATTTTTAAGATGGCAATTTTGAATTTGAATCATAATTACAATGCTTTCATTTGCTAAATTAATATTGGATATCTTCCAATTTGCATAATTAGTTTAATACTTTTTAAATCATCCTTTAAATCTGAATCATAATTTGTAAGAGTATCTTAATTCTTCAACTGTAACCTGATTCTTTTTATTGGCCTGCAAATTTCTTAATTTCAAAGTGTTACCATGTTATAATTTCATAAAAAAATATTGCTTAAGAATGATTCTGCAATTATTAATTTCATATTAACAAAACAGTATTCTCTGTAATATCTTATGAAATATGTAGAAAATATATATGCTATTTGAAATTCTCTTCATTGCAGCTTTGCATGAGAATAAGTTTGAGAGGAATATGTAATGTTATTATTTAAATGTTAAAGTTCCTTAAAGATATGAAATTTTTCGAAAAATTGTTTTGCTGTATATTAACATTTAAATTTATTATATCTGATGGTAAGAAATATATCTTTTTAGGTGATATTTGTCAAAGTTATTAATCTTGGTAGCAGTATTATTCAGAATTATAAGCAGATGCACCATATTCAGAGATCTGTACAGTTATTAGCATATGCTGATGACATCAACGTTATTGGCAGAAGTAAACAGACTGTTGTAGAGACTTTTATTTCAATAGAATCTGCAGCCAGAGACATTGGACTTACCATTAATGAGTGCAAAACAAAATTTATGGCAATAACTAGTGGAGCACATAATCCCCTCCCATTGCAAATAAAGTCTTGTACTTTCAAAGGCATTTCTCAGTTTACGTATTTCGGTACTATCATATCTAATGATAATAATATTGAACTTGAAATTGATAACAGATTATTTATAGCTAATAGATGTTATCGTGGTCTAAATTATTAAACTTCAAGACAAAAATAAATCTTTATAAAACTCTTATTAGACCTATTATATTGTATGGTAATGAATGTTGGCCATTAACAAAAAACAGATGATGAAAGACCTCTAATTTTTGAAAGAAAAAGTACTGCAAAAAACATATGACCCAATTAGAGAAAATAATAGATGGAGAATTTTGTTTAGCCGTGAAATACATAGAAGATACAAACAACCTAATATTGTTCGACTCATAAAATCTTATCGTATCAGTTGGCTTGGACATATTTTTAGATGTGAAAGCTTGAATCGTGTTAAAAAGGTAACCTTTGCAAATGTAGAGTAAAACCAAGAAGAGAGGAAGTCCTTGCACAAGATGTATAGACTGTGTGGAGGCAAATCTCAGAACTCTAAAAATCAGTCATTGGCAGACCACAGCAACTAATTGGATCTGTTGGAGGAAGCTTGTTGAGATGGCCTTGCCCTGTGATAGGCTGTAGTGCAACTGAAGAAGAAATGCGGGTGTCTTGGCAATATTAAATTTAACAATCTATTAGTTTAATGATTTAATACTTTGTGGTACATGAGAAAATATATGTTTTTTTCTCAATAAAAAAGTCTGTACATGGTGTGTTGATCATATGAAACTATTAAGAAGAAATTAATTGGAGGAGAAGGGCAGTTAGCAAACAGACGTCGAAGATGGGTCTAACAAAACCGTGGACAGTGCCCATCAGTTTAAAAAAATAAAAGTAGTTTCTCATGGTTGTCACCTGATGACGAGAATGATTTGGTTAGATAAATAGGTATGCAGTAGAAAGTATGAAATCCAGATGCGCAATATCCCAAAGGCTTTCTAAGCCCATCAGCCAAAAAATAAATAAAATAATATTCCCTCTCTGCTTCCAAAGTCTACTAATGGTTAATATAACGGTCAATAAAAGGAAGCAGATGTGCTGTAAATGCAATTTTTCTCCAGACTGAGATTTCTGAGTGTCACTTTCAAACACCTGTTGTCTAGGAACTTGCACTGTGGCCAGTGATAATTTGTTAATTGATGTTGGTCAGGATCACAATTTCAGCCCTTGAATGGTTGTAGGAAGGTAGTATTTATTTAGCTGACCTAAACAATAAATGAAGCCCTTTATGCTATCTTATGCACTTTTCATCTTGTTAGATTTAAACCGATGATCTAAAATCCAGAATCGCCTGATGATTCCAGATCTTGGACTTAATACTGTATACCTTTTTCAGTTGATTCAAAGAAACATAAACTCAGCTTAAATCTTATCTATCATAATTATATAATCACGTTTGTTTGATTGTTTTATTATTGCTATTATGCTCAAGTGAATTTCACATCTTGAGTTATTAATGAATTGACAATCAACAGAAACAAATTAAAATAATGCAATAAGCACTTTTATGTAGCTTTAATATATCGATATTCTATCATATTGTCTCTTAAAAGTGGTGCATTATCAAGGTTATTAAGTTATTTAATTGTGCTTTTAAAAATATGTGAAAATAAAAATATATTTCATTTATATTATCATTTTTTGCATGCATTTCTAGGTGTAATTTTCTTCCTTAAATACATGTAATATGAATTGTTCTCATAGTTATGTTGCCGTTGCTGTAATGGAAACAGACTTTGATAGAATTGATATTAATCAGTGCCCTACTGGAGAAGGCAATCCTCCTCCTAACCGATATGCTGGGACTGCACGATGTAAAAACCAAACAACTGAAGTGAGTTTTTTCCCCCCTTTCTTCTCTTAAGTAGATGTGCTTGTATGATGAATGCAGATTAAAAAGTAATGATAAGTAATTGAAATGAGAACTTTGTATAAAACATCCAAATCTCAATTTTATATTAGATTACTCATTTTTAGAGCAGACTACATTTAAAACTATTGTGTGTAACAGAAAAAAAAATGTATTACATTAAATTCTTCATTTGAAAGTGCCATATAAACTTAATGAGTAAATTAGTAAAATATATATATATATATATATTTAATGTGAAAGTAGTTTATATTAAAAATTTAAAATGCAGTGAAAATAGGGATAAATCCAGTAAGAAGGTCATTACAAAAAAAAAAAAAAAAAAAAAAAAATTGATGTAAGGTAGTAAAGTTTGTGTAATAAAGTAGCTTACAGATCTGAAAATTCTATTCATGTCAGTGGTTAAAACGATGAAAACTTTTTTGAAATGCTAATTTTGTATGGATCCACAGTGCAGCCGTATTAATATTTGACCAGAGGGTTGTGTATTATAAAATTCTGTTTCTCTCTAAGTGCTCAGTTCTATAATGTGAAAATATGCTAATTCAATAATGAATGTAAACTTGAATCAAGCTAATACTTGATGCAGTCAGTCTTAAGTTGTATTTCTCTTGTCTATAGTGAAGCCTGTTCAAATACACTGACTACCAATAAGTATTTGGACACCTGTGATAGAAAAGAAAAACTAACATTATTCAAAATCAATAGTTGTTAGAGCCTTCACGAGAGGTAATTACAGCGAGGACCCTCAGTGGCATACTTTCCACAAGTCTTTGTATGACAGCTAGTGGTATTTTCTTCCACTCGGCTGGAGAAGACATAGAAGTTCCTTCACCGATTTTGCACAGGTAGTGCACCCCTGAATTCGGCGATGCAACTCGTCCCAGAGGTTCTCGATAGGGTTCAGGTCTGGACTCTGGGCAGGCCAGTCCATTCGATGAACTCCATTGGCACCATACCAAGCCTTGGTTAACGTCGAAACATGACAAATTGTGATACCCGATAATTATACCTTTCTCGAAATCAGAGAGCTCCGAACTGTGAGGCATCTTGCATGTGACTAAAGCCGATGCTGTTTCCTACACAATATATACCGGCGGAGTCCGTGGCGTACCTTGGGACCACACATATCGTCATTTGCATAGGTGTCCAAATACTTATTGGTAGTCAGTGTAGTACCATGGATGAAGAGTCAATCTTAATTTCTTTTGTCTATGGTGAAGCCTGTTCAAATAGTACCATGGGTGAAGAGTCAATCTAAGTGAAAATATAATAAGCTTGATGGAAGCTTTTTATATTTTCACAAGTTTCCAATCAAAATTTAAATCTTGTGTAGATAATGTTTCAACATGTAAATAAAAATAGAGTAAAAACTAAATCTGTAGACTTATATTAAAGAAATAACTAGTTTTTATAGAGTTGTTCACTAATGAAATATAAGTGTATTTGAAGTAATGAAATTTCTGTACTACAAACTGTTATTCGCATATAATGTTTAATCAAATAATTGTATGTAGAATTTTGATTTTGAAAATTGTTCTCATGGTTCATATGTGTTGATTTATGAAGATTAGTCAATGATTTATAACCCAAGAGCCCTTGAGTCAAAATTCAGATAAGAGTTCAGGCAGCTAACCCTCATGTACTTTCTTTAAATCAAATAACCCAATCTATTGACATTGTGCAGTCCTAGAAATATAATAAATTATGTATAAAAGTATTATTAAAATCTTATCTAACTTGCTAATAGGCATCCTTCATCTATTTGCTAATGATAAATTTGATACACATATTTAGAAATGATTGTATGACTGAATATGTCTTGGAACAGTGCACTGTAAGTAGACTGAGTAGGTAAGACTGCTAAACATTGTAATTTGACTGAGGTTCAAAATTGTGCGAGTAAGTTGGTAGTTTTCTTGACATGAAATGTGAATTTCAGCCATTTTCCTTAGATTCCTCCGCAAAAGACATACCTTCCTGCTGAGAGATAGCCCTTCTTTGCCTTAATCAATCAACCAAATGTTTCTTAAACTTTTTTCACATGGGGACCACTTTACTGTTGTGCCTTTCAAAAACAGTATTTTTAGCACATAGTTCTACCAATCTATTTATAATTTTTTTAATTAATTAAAACTATTTATATTTTGTATTGGTATTGAGTAATTAAGCTAGTAGAAGAAATGGCTTTTAATAATTCAAGATTATTAGGGTTGGATGATCTTTATGTTAGTAACAAAAACTTTAAAAAAATGTTGGTACTCATAATTAATTAGATGGAAGAGCCTGCGGATTTTTGCATAGCTGTTCTATGTTTGGATATATGCTGATAAGAAACACATTTATAGTGCTATATATATCTTGTTTGTTTCTAAGACTAGAGTAGGAAGGGTAACTGGTAATAAACTTCATAAAATGCCAGTCTTGGGGGGGGGGAAATGATAGTTGATTGATGGGTAATTTCCAAACTCTGAGATTTTCAGTTATGGTTTCGTGTACTCAGTTAATTTGAATTTTAATTTTTGTCTTTTTTGGAAATCTAGGAGGTCCACAAGATCAAGTTTCAAGGATCGCTTATTGTCTGTAGACCGAAGATTGAGAAATGTTGAAGTGACCAAATTACTCTTGAACAATTTGTTGTAGGTCTATGATTCCAGCTTAAAAAATGAGTTATTGGAGGTTTAAAGAGTATATGTATAAATTTTGGTGATTCAACACCAAAGCAAAATGAAAAATTTTAACAAATTTTTTTTTAATTTTATGTAGAGTTTATGTGAAGAAAACTGTTATTAATAAATTCGTTTGTATAGTGCTAAAATAAAAAAGAGGGGAATCTTGTTCTGTAATAAGCAAACGTAATTTGAAAATAATGAATTAACCTACTTTCACCAAATTAAAAACAATAAAAATAAAAGGAAATGTCAAAATCTGAGATTAGATAATAACTGAATTTATATATATATATAAAAATTTTGAAATTTAACATTTTCATAAATGGGAATTTGTAATGTATAAAATGGAAATTTGTAACATTTGTCTTACATGAAAGATATCTATTGGAAATCTGTATAAAAAATGCAAGTTTTTTAATCCTAATTTGTGTGTCATCCTCAAAAGCCCACATAAAAATTTAACTAATGATATTTCAAGTAGTTTTGATTATATGAGAGGGATAGTATCCAATTTTATTAATTGAGTTATGATTTTTTTTCCTCTCTGCAGGCCAGAGCTATTATCTGTAAAGCTATCTCATTTGATTCATTACGTTAGCTAGGACTATTTGTCTGTGATCTAGAGATGTCTATTTGTGTAAATTCTGAAGCTATTTAATCAAGCAGTATTCAAATTTTTATGCAATTTAAAGATAAAAATTCTCTCTAGTATGGATTCTCTCCCTTCTCTGGAGAAATTCCATAGTCTGAGCAGATAGTTTTTCAGCCTCAGATTAGTGCACTCAATCCTAGAATAGAAAACTCACAGGAGGGAACAGCTAAAGGTATGGTTGAAAATGCTGAAAACTTTAAACATAAGCATTATGTTAAGCTTATCGGAATCCAATCTTTCCTTATTTATGTTTATTAAATATAAGTACTTGAGAATTAGCTGATACTTGTTGATAATATAACCCATGACCCATGCTTTCCTGTAAGGGTTACAGCAGCATGTTGTTCTGGACGTTTTTAGTAAAATACTCTTTCTTAAAGGCAGGTGAGAAGTATCTTTTTTTATTTCAACACCAGTTTCAGATCAGTTACAGCAAACATGTAATCTGCAATGCATCATTTGTTTTAGCAACTTTTTTTCTGATGGAAAGTTCTCGGGACAATGTTTATTTGTCTCAGATTAATTTTTATTGCATTGTTTGTTTTCTAGATTTGCTGAGAAAGAAAACAATAGCTACCCATTATTTCCAGCCATGTGGTATTTTGTCAAAAAGTTGTTTGTGTTCTAATTCTCATACAGAAAACTATACATGGTGGAAAACATGTTAATAACTGCCAAATAAAGTGTTTGAATAAAGAATTGAAAATGTTTAAAGGAAGTTACTTGCATCTATATATATAGCAGTGTTCGTATGGAAAGGGACAGAAACAAGCCATAAAGAATAACAATCTTTTAACTTGGTTTTAAATGCAGTTATCGAAAAATATGTATCAGAAATTTAAAAAAAGCCTATTTAATAGAAATACCAGCAAAAATATATTTTAGTGCCAGTAGATTATTGGCAGTTTATCAGCAAGTATTCGAGTAATACCCAAATATCAAATGTGATTTTATGTATAGTGAACGATAGCTAAATTTGATGATGATAGCCGCACATTTTAAAGGTTTTCGGATGTCGCAAAACAAAGGTGAAATTTTCCAATTAACACATTTTGTAAAGAAATGTGGAGAAGCGGTAATAAATGAAGATGATATAAAAGAAGTTTTTCATTGTGATGACAATGCCCCAATCATCAATCAGTTAATGAATGGTGAAGTCTGTAGTATGGTTCTAGATCCAGAAAATACCATTAGTGAAGAAAGTAACTGAGAAGTTACTGAAAACGAAAAAATTTTGATTGATAAGTTAGTCAGAATTCTCGACACAGCAGTTACAGGACTTCAACAATATAACTAAACAAGAGATTATGTCTGTCTACAGAATTAAAGAGAAAGTATTAGCACAAAAAACAAAGCAACTTAAACAGCTTACATTGAAAGAAATGTTTAATAAGGTAAACAATTAAATATTAATCTCTTCCCCTCCCCTTGTAAATATTGTTACCCTGTAGAATCATAATTACTTCATTATTTCGTAAATCACGATAATATGTTTTTAATTTTATAATTTCTACATGCCACCTTACTAGATTTAAACTCATGTTCTAAACTGATAATCTAATATTTGGAAAAATCCCAAATCCGGAATTGCCAAAGTCCTGACAAGTCCAGATTTCGGACTTTGTACTGCATAATAATTATTTATAATTTAATAAATATTTTCAAATAAAACTTTTAAAATTTTCAATTTTAATATGAGTAATGCCAAAAATAAAAATGAAATGAAAGCAATCCTAATGCTACATAAACCTTTGGTGAAAAAAAAAAAAATAACTATTTTATATATAGCAAATAATATAATTTATGTGATGTTTAATGTGCATAATGCCAAGTCTGTATGCGATGCCAAGCATCGCATACATAGTTTTGATTTTTTTTTTTTTTTTAAGTGAAAATAGATTGCTGTGTACATGGGGAGAATTAGATGTTATTTTCCCCATGAACAATCAAATCTGTTTTAGGTTTAAAAAAAAAAAATAGGTAATTACATACATTTGCCATCGAACAAAATAATTCAGCAAAATGACTGTCTGCACTTCAAGACGGAAGCAACTGAAAATCTCGGATGGGAAATTACTGAATTGATGTTCATTCTTTGTGTGCAACATCGTTGCGCATCTACTGCTGATGCAATATAAATAGGCTACCCCATTAGCGACTAAACATCCCATTAACAGAAAAGTACCTAAGTTTTAATGAAGAGATGACACTTTGTCACATGGTTAGAAAGGAGCAATAAAATTTGAGAATTTGATTATATTGTTTTTGCAATCAAAGCGTTTAGTTGAAATTATTTTCTCATGCATTATACTGTGTAAATCAAACTTAACCCAAACAGGATGGTGGTTAGTAACGCTGACTGCCATACTGAAGGGCCAGAGTTCAAATCTTGGAGAAGGCATGGATGTTTGTAAATGTATAGTATCCATACAAGCATGGGAGCTCTCTAAATATGAAGCGAACAAAATGTCCTCTTGAGAGGTTGGTGGTAGGGGAAGATTGGGGAGAGACCCTTAGACTTGTCCCCGCCCACGAGATGCTCCCCATCGGAACTCAGCAAAGTTGTCTGTCGCCTGTGTAGTGCTCAAGGCTCTTGCCAAGGACAGGTGCAGTCTTGCACTCCTTGCCACAATGAATTTTGTGGGCTTGTTCTGATGTTACTGTCAGACAAGTGAGATAAGTCACAACAACAGCAAATTAAACTTAAATGTAAATTATCATCTAAAGATTCATTTTAACTTTGAAAATTTTTACTTTTAGTGTGAACCAATACATGGATTTGGATTTCGAAGGGGTGGATATCAGTGTCGTTGTTTACCAGGATATCGTTTACCAAAAGTGATCCGGAATCCATTTCTCGGTGAAATTATAGAAAGAGCAGCCTATGACTATTATCATAAGGGCTTCAACTGTGAGAAAATCAATTGTATGTATTTTTTCATTGTAATATTTTTTGTTGTTTTAGGTTTGTAATTATTTGTTATTTTATTTATTTTTTGGATTATTGATTTAACATGTTGAGCCCGGCGCCGAATTTGCTATCCTTTCCGTTCAGCCGGCAGCGAGCGATCAAGCAGTGCAATGTTGTCGAACTAAATTATTCATAAATTATACAAAAAGGAAGGAGACGCACATCAAGTCCAAAGGTATTGTTCGAAATATTATCTGGACAATTCAAAATTATTTGGACGCAAGATGTTACCAAAAAAGCTGTTATGTATTGTAATATGTGTAAAGCTAAGCCTTATTTTTGTTTAGAATGTTTCAATAAATTTCATTAAAACTATATTTGATCACATTTCATTGAGACTATATTTATTTTATAACTTTAATACTGTTATTCCTGTGGACTGACGCCAGCCAAATGAAAATTAGGGACTGATGCCGCCACACGGAAAGTTCACTGTCAGTCCCCAGGGACTGATGCCGAGCTCAACATGTTAATAATTGTTGCATATTATTCATTTTTAACATGTATTCATAAAATTTGATTTTGGATGTATTGGTTATACATAGTGTCTTTTTATGATTGATTTTTAAATTTCATTTCTTATTTAAATTTGAGTTCTTGAATTTTTTTGTCTAGTAATAAATTTAATCACATTTTTACAAAGCATATAGTCCTTGAGAGCTTTGCGATAAATGTGTAACCTGATTTTTAATATAATATATACTATTTCAAATGGCTATTCATATTTCTAATATTATGTGTAACTTTATTAATTTGATATAAATTTGAAATTTTAAAAACATTATTTTATAATTTTAATCAACAGTGAAATAAAATGTAATGATATGAATTAATCTATTATGTACATTTTTCTTAAATTTGTACATGTGGGTGTGAAATATGTTTTGAATGGCATTTCCAAAACTCACTTTTTAGTAATAATAATATTTTGACTTCAGATTATTGTAACACTTTTCTTTATAAATCAAATTGTTTTGTAATATTTGTATTATTTATTTTAGATATGATGGTTATGACCCAAAATGTTGAAAGATTGTCCGAATCTGAACGCTGGAAATACATCAGTCGTCAGTCTATGTTTTTTGATGTGGGTAACATGAATGGCAGTAGAATTGATCCTCTTGTTGTAGTAGATTATGTGAGAAGTGCGGTAGGAAATTTTGTTTATATATATATATTTCCCCCCCCCCCTTTTTTTTTTTTTTTTTTTTTTTTTTTTTTTTTTTTTTTATGATTTTTTAAATAAACTACTCTAGTATGCTTAATTATATGAGCATCAATACAATATAAATCTCTTTGTGAAATATTTTATTACATAGATCTGAATTATTACTTTACTATTTTTGTATAACTTTCATATTATTAAGAAGGTTAGGTCTTTAAAAGTAATAAGAGAACAAAATATTTTTAAAAGCATGATTGTAATGCAAAATGGCTACAAATCTCATGATTGGACATACATAATCATACTGCTTGGTGGATTAATGAGTAAATGAATGGATGTAATCATTAAGCTGAAATGAAGTCATAGTAACTCATGGAGTATTTATCATTTTAGTATTATATTTCTATCTTATTTATTACTTGTAGTTCTAACACAAGCTCTAAAAATCTCTACCAAATCAAAATTTAATTAACTTTTTCTGATTTATTATTGTTGTTGTGGTTGTTATTATTTCAATAAATGTTTAAAAATGGGCTCAATAACTTAACCAATAATATTTTTTATCAAATAATATTCAAAGATTGTGACCATTCTTATAAAGAAATTTCACCTAATTTTTGTTTTGTATATGTGAATATCAATTTGTTCTTCATAAAAGAAGTATAAACTTATTGCTAAAGAGGTGTTAACTTATTCTGAGTTGAATATGTATTCACAAAATATGGAATCATTGCTTTAAAAAAACTTTTAAATAAATTGATTGAAATTTGAGAGATTCAGTCATTGAAAAGAAAATCATTATTCACCTACTAAATTGGAGTAATAATTTATCTGAGTACTTTTTTATCACTTTATTTTTTTAAATCTTGCCTCCTTTTTTTTTTTTTTTTTTTTTTTTTTTAATTAATTTGCTTTATTTGGAGAACTTTCTGTTTTAAATATTCCCTTTCTTATTTCAGAATTTTCTTTTGCCTCAAATAGGCTGGTTGCATGACTATTTTTATTTCTTTTCACCATTTATAGCATGAATATAAACCAGCTTCCTTTAAAAAGTCCTTTACAAGGGCATCCCTTCCTTTAGCAGATATCCCTTGTATATGTTAACATTAACATTAAGAATGGTGGCACTTCCTTATAAAAAGAAGGAAAAGAGCTTAGGCAATGTTGCCCATTGCTCGTATAGATATGTTGTATTATTGTATATGTGCCATAATCAGTTAAAACTAGAAATTTCACTAACATATATTTTCAATTATTTGTATTTATTATTTTATTACATCTCGAAGATGATATATATTTTGCCTATAATGTGCATATAAGGTATAAAATCCTTGTTCTGGCAAGACATGATCATGTTTTAGAATACTAATAGATTAGTAGAACAGAGATAATCTGAAATCTCGTCTTACTAAATTAATGCCATCATGAAAATGTTTGCATTAATTTTGCAAAGTACTAAAAATCCTAATGATAAATTTTGTGACCATTTGGAACTTTAATAAATAAAAGAATGTGAATATGTTTTGAATGCCATATTTTATGTAACTGATACAAAATCATTTGTTTCGTGTTATGTTTTTATGTTAAATTTGATTAAACAGTGATCTAAAATCCTCAGAGTGCAAGTCTCATGTTATGGTTTGGAAAAGTGCAAACTGTGTGTAGTGTTTAGAACATTAGCTTTATCGCTGTGATAGGGTGAAAATTCTTATAGGTTATCCATTTTACACTTTTGTAGCAATTTGAGTAAATAATTTATATATACAGATACACTAACTCTATATTACAAGCCCACTCTAGTACTGTTTTATGTTTATGTTTACCAAGACATCATCACAGTAAAAAATTTTTTCATGTCTGAAAAGTACTGTATAATTCCTGAATTTTTGCCTGGAAATCAAACAAAAAAAAAAAAAAAATTATAACAAAATCCTCGAAAGTTTAGTTGTTTAGCTATCAATTCTGATTTAAAAACTGTATTTCTTTAAATATTGAGTTTGGAAATAATTGTCATAAACCCAAAAAGCAACACAAGGAAGGCATCTCTAACCTAACAACATTCCCCCCCCCCTGTTTTTTTTTTTTTTCGTGAATATTTATAGGTGTAATCTTGTAATCTGATCTTATTTAAATTCAAGTTAACATTTCAAAGAATTTCTTTAAAACCTAAAATATTTATTTCTGGTTCACAGCTGAACATTTACTGTGTATATCGTATAAGGATAAATATGGTATTCCCAAAATAGGCTGTAAAATTTTTAAAAAATATTGTTCATGCATGCCCAAAGAACACACAATATTAAAATGTAATTTAAATTTTCATTATTGCTTTGCTTTGAAATCTGTAATTATATGTAATATGATGCAGTAATTTAGTATTTAAAAAAGGAAATATAAGGCCAAAAATGAAGTGCTGATAACACTGGTCTCCACTCAAATTATCTATTTTCAATATTTATAAGCATTAATTTGATCCAAATTTTATATTTTTAAAATTTTGTTTTTCTGAACAATTTAAGTATTTAATTCTGTATAATAAACTTATACGTACATTTAACTTTGACATAAATTTTCTGGAAAAAAGGAATTTGTGTTTATTCTAGTAACAGATTTTTATTTCTAGGTTACTAAATTTAACTGTGAAGCAATTGCTGCAAAACATCCAGATCGTTTATTTTTGAGAGGAGATGTTGCTTATGGAAAAGAAATTCAACTAGAAAATGAAGCTCGAACCGCATTACGCTTAGCTAATTTCATATCATCATTCCTTCAAATAGTGGATCCCAATGACTTATTTGCTGAATTCCGAGTGCCTGACAAACCACTGACTGAAGATCAAGTCATTGGTGAAGTATTATCTGCCGTAATAGGAAATGAAAAAATACAAGGTTGTGGAGTATATTTTGATAGAAATCAGTTCATTAACCGAACACTGTTTGCTCCATATGCTTATCGTAAGGAAAAGAACACTCAAAACTTCTTTGTGGAAGACATGGCTAGACAGAATAGTAAAAAAACTTATTTAAAAAGTGACTGGTTCAAAAGCTTGAAAGTTCAGTGGGCTGCTAATACTGATAATCTTGAAACGTATACAACAAAGATTAAAATTCGTTACAATTCTTCTGGATTGTATCCTATAAGGTATGACCGATATCCTTTGCAATACAAAGCTGCAGAGTTAAAACATGGATATTGGACTGTTCCTTATTTTGATTGTGGTGGATTTCATAATCAATGGCTCATTACCTATGCTGCTCCATTTTTTGGTTGGGATAAAATTAAAAGTCGTCTCGAGTTCAAGTAAGAATCTTCTGTTTTCCTTCCTTTTAAATAAACTGTTTTTAACAAAGACATCGACATGACTGTGATAAAAAATTTATGTGGTCTTAAAATATTTATTTTTATTATATTACATAGGTCAAACCCTAACTGATGATTTTGGAAATTCACAATTTACTGAATCAGTTTAATTTTAAGCGTAATACATATTATTAAAATGATAAAATTTTTGTTCATAATCAACAGCTATCTCACTTTTTATATTTTAAGAGGCCACACAAAAAAGGGGGGAACGTTAATTTTCTTTTTTTTTTTTTTTTTTTTTTTTTTTCCCCCCATGATAATTCACTAATGGTTTTTATAAATTTAAAGTCAGACTGAGGAACACTGTTAAATTATGGGTATCATTGTGGTGTAAACTTAACAAAATTGTAAAATATAAAATCATTAAATAATGCTTATATTTTATATAATTTTAGAACAGTTTTAAAATATTGTTTTGGAACTACTCTGATATGTGCCCTCAAGTCGCCAAACATTTTTGGTGAGAAACTCCACGCTGCCATATTACTATCTAAAATTTTTGTCTACATTTCGAACTTTAAGCCTAAAATGTCTCCAAAAACGCCGTTTTCATACATGCAAAAACCACGTTTTGAACATACAATTTATGCTAAAAATCCAAAACAAAAACAAAAAATTTAGATAGCAAAAATATAAAGTTTCTAACCAAAAATATTTGACAAGAATCCATGTACACAGCGATATGTTTTAACTTAAAAAACATCTACAAATGGCACAATCTAGGCAACGAACGAATCTACGAACTATTCACACCTCACTTTAATAAATTAACATAACAACAATAAATTTCAAAGAATACCATGTACACAGCATTCTATTTCAACTTTAAAAAAATCTACAAATTGCACAATCTGGACGCTACGCACTAATCAACAAAATAAACTAAAATAAATTTCAAACAATTCTAGAAAACAACAATAATGACAGAAATTCATATTAAAAAAACAATGAACATAACATTCTACAAAATAAAAACAAGAATAAAATAAAATGCACTTACCATGAATTAATGCTTTTTCGAACAGCAGAAATACCTTTAATAGCCTTTAACATGCCACCACGTAATCGCTATCGTATTTATATGACAGCCAGGCACACTATCCAGAAAATTCATACTGTGTTTCACACATTCCTACTTCTATCATGCACAGCCACAAAAAATAATCTCCCAGACCCTCTTTCCACACCTTCAAATACCCACTGCCCCTCAACAGGATGGCCACAATGATATTTCCTTTTGCCGAACTTCAATTCAACAACCTTCCACCATTTTATCTTTCCCCCCTATCTTCGCGAACCAACGAGCTGCAGCGAAAGATTTTTCAACGCCAACAGGGTTGCCATACAACACGCAATCGCGCCAAAAACCAACGCAGAACATATATTGCCACATTTCGTGAAATTAGGGCGTATATCAGAGTTGTACCATTGTTTTAAATCATTGTTGAATACCAACTGCATAAGGTGTTGAATACCAGCTGTGTGGTAAGAAAATTATAAAATTCAAAGCAAAATGTCTTTGATTGAGTTAAAATCAAACGAAATATAAAATAATTAGTTATTTAAGAAAATGTTTCAGAGAGAAAGAGAGATGAATGTTTAATTCATTAAAACAAGTATAGATCACAGTATAGCTATCTTCGTACATGGCATTTTATAATTGAGCTTAATGCATATGAAAATTATATTATTTTATTTCCTTTCTGTTCCAAATTCTCTTTGTTTTAAAAATATTTTCCCTATTTAGTTTTCTGTATTCTGTCTGTTAATATCAACAGCCTTATGTGTATATAGGACAGTTTTTTCCACAAAAATTGTTTGCGATAAGCAGTTATACGAAAAGCTTACTTTTCAAAACTTGTTGTTTCAAATGGCTGGACACTTCCAACTTCATGCATTCATTGGGAATACCCTGTTTTGATCAGTAATTTAGTTGTCTTTTCATCAGTATAGTATGGACTATGATGTTTATATAATTGTATATTTTTTCAAATTGCACAACTGTGACTATAGTTTTGTTAATTTCACTTTTATGTAAATTTTTGTATTTCTAAATAAACCATGACTTTTTTAGCAGTGACGTTAATAGCTGTCATGGTAAAGCTAACCATTTTTTTAAATTAGTTATGTTCATAAATTAATATGCCTCCATTTTTTCATAGTTAGTGACCAATAGAGCTTATTATTATTCACAACTTCCTGATGCTTGTATATTTTCATGTTTTTATCTGACAGTGAACAATACACATATATTGGGTGTACCGGGAAAGTTCTGTCTGGTGATGTTATTTCAACACGCATGCACCTGTTCATTTCAGGCATATATGGCTGTCTCTCTTTATTATTGCTTTGATGCACAATTGCTGTTCTAAATTAACTGAAACAAAAGTGTCTCATATCATTAATGATAGGCCAAGCTCTAGGCAGTCATTTTTAATCGATTATGATACTGTCAAGATCATGATAGAGCAAGATCCTTTTTTGAAAACATCAGAAATTGTGGAAAAACTTAACTCGGCTCAACAACCATTTAGGACTATATTTGTAAACTAGAATTGGTTTATAAATGTTCCAAATAGATGCCTCATGAGTTAAATGAGAAAATTTTCATGATCGAGTCGTCATATGCACATCTGTGCCTGCTTGGGACAAAAACATGATAACTGGTGATGAAAACAGATTACATATGAAAATATCATTTGGAAAAGAGCATACTGTGAGCCCAGACTGCCTGCCCCCTCCACCTCTAAGCCAAGCTTGAGTCTGAATAAAAAAATTTTGTGAATATAATGGGATGTCTTAGGATGAATATATTATGAGCTTTTGGAATCTAATGAAAAGCTCAATTTGGAAAGATACTGTCAGTAAATGTATGATTAAAAAAAAAAAAAAAAAAGTGAAAGAAAAGAAGCCAGCGATGCTCCTTAGAAAGCATATCATACTGCATCATGTTAATTAATACCCGACCACATGCTCTTGCGATTTGTCAGAAAATCGTACACCTAGGCTGAAAAATTCTGCACCATCCTCTGTACTCCCAAAAACTAATACCCTCTGATTATCACTTGTTTCTTCCCTTGAAAAATTTTTGAAGGGGAAAAATTCAGAACTGAAGCAAATGTCAGCCAAGCACTACTTGAGTTCATCACCTCTAAAGACAAGATGTTTGTCAGAAATGGTATTTACAAATTACCATCAGTCTGGGCAAGAGGTCATAAGTAATGATGTAAACTATATTGTACAATAAATATTATTAAAAGTATCAAAAATGTATTATTTTCTTTTGCTTTCTAAACTGACAAAATTTTCTGATAGGCCTTTTATTTGGTACAGGTCCACATTACTGATGGTGAGAGCTAAAAAATATTTGAATAAGTATTGTGTGTCATATGAGCACTCATAGTAACTTGTAGTATCTTTGATTTTAATTTGAAAATTCAAAGTCATATTATTGTTTCCTGTTTTAAAAGTTATGCATTGGTTAAACAAAACATGGTGTGCAGCCTGCAATGCCAATAAGCAATAAAAAAAATTAAAGGGTGCAAAATATTTTACTAAAAAGTATATTCACATTTACATATTTAATTTCTTTACAAGTGTATTCGGACTTCTTTTTGTTGTTGTTCTTGTTATTGCTGCCCTATCTGCAAAATTGTTCTCATATATAAGGTGAAGAAAGTAATATAATTTCAGTTTTGAATGAAAGCACTTTCTAAAAACATAGATATTATCTTGAATTCGTTTTTATTAATTTTTTGTATTGTTAAACAAAATATATTGAGCAGCCTACCGTGCCAACAAACATTTTAAATTGGCCGTCACCAGTTTATATTATTCATGGTGTATTTAGCAAATATTCATTTATCTAAATTTTCATATAATGTACAGCAGAAAAATTAGAAACCTTTGTTGAATAAGGTTTCTGTATCCTATATCTACTTATTAACGAACAACTAAATAGAGAAGAATTTATTTTCTGGTTGTTTGTATTTAATCACCTGTCACATGCATTTAAGTGTGAATTTATAATTTCTTAATCAAGTTTTTTAATTTTGAAATTGATTATAATTGAATTGTAAGTGAATCTTCAGCGTTTGCTGTTTGGCATATTTTGAAACTAAAAATACTTTTTTTAATTGTTTCATCTATCTGTGCAGAAAATAAGAAAGCAAAATTATTGCTTTTTTTCTACTTATGCAGTGGTTAGAAGATTGAGAAACATTTTGTAATAAATGCTTTTTCCACAAATAGTTGAAGGTATATGAGCTATCTGCTGGATTTCTTATTTATTTTTTGTGTACATGTAGTTTCATCCTTTTCTAATTAAGTTTTCTCCATTATGCACACAATAACTTATCAGCTTCTGATTTCAAGTTTTTATTTTAGTCTTCAAGCCAAACGTTTGTATACATGGACTTTCCACTTATGCAGATGTTGTAACAAATGCATTTGTTATTAGTTGAAATAAAGGAAAATTAATATATTTTTTCTAAAACTTTGTGTCTTTCAGTTTCTGTGAAATTCTCTATTTGTATATTATGTTTAAAGTAAATTTTCTTCATAAACAACTGAAAATGTTTTATGAAGGATTAAGTTATTCACCAGTCCTCTGCACCTAAAGGAAGTACAAGAAGTGTAATTCCTTACTTTTTCAACTTTCTTGCTCATTTTGTGAAAAATCTGATATATCTTCACTGATTACTTTAATTATAGAAATGTAAATCAGCAGCCAACTTAGTACAGCTTTGAAACCCTTGGATTTTGGTCCTCTTCAAAGGGATTTGGGGAATGTGAAGATTGTTATATTTCCAACAATTTCTTGATTCTATTAGAATTAGACATGCATATATACAGAAGCCTTTTCCCTTTAACAGAAATGTAATAAAGACAAGATTTTTAGATAGTTATGCATCATATATGCTTTGCGATCATTAACCACCGAGTAAATAAAAAAAATAGCTATTATTTTTTCTGCAAAAATTAATTGGCACAGTGGAAAACTAGTAATATTTTTGTTGGCATTCACAAAACAGATCTGGATGAAGAATGCTACAGAATATTAAAACAAAGTGTTGTGTAATGTTTTAATACATTATATGATGTTAATAAAGTAGTAATGTTCTAATATATACCATTTTGCAATCTTATTTGCGTCTTGTTTTTGTTACTATATTTTCCTTGGTATTAGTTTTATATTTTATGTTCTCTGCAGAAGGTTTTGAATTATTTATGGCTAAAAATTTTTCTTGTTGTTTTAAATTATAAAAAATGCCATATTTACTCGAAAATAAAACCCTCTTATAGTTTAAGGTAAGATGAATATCTGATAAGATTGTGGTTCTGATAAAATATACAGGCCTAAATTGAAATTACTGAACTATATGTGGCAATTATATATAGCAGTAGTTGTGCAGTTTGTATATATAATAATTACTTTTGGGTTTATTTAATATTTAAATACTTTAATGTTCTATATAGTATGATAATTAGACTTCATTCTGCACTTTCATTTATCAGAATACTTTATTAAATAATCCTATCAAATTATAGAGCCAAAAATGTAGCAAAAAAAAGGGGGGTCTTATATGAAAAGGTACTTTTTTTATATCTAGGAGGTAATTTGTAAAGTCTTGAGTGTAAAGGAGAAATGTGTATATGTTTTCTTAGAAATATGGAAACTATAGCAATAAATATGCAAGTAAATGCCATCCAGAATATTTGTAAATAATTACATACTTTAAAATTATTTGAAATGTGATGAAAAATAAATTAATGAATCAAATCTGAAATTTTCAGGGGTGCAGTAGCTGTAAATATGAAACTGGAGGAAATTGACATAAATCAATGTGATGATGAATATTATGTACAGAATGCATTTAAAGGTACTCATAAATGTGACAGAAGATCATCTAGGGTAAATATATCAATTACTCTTTTTTTTTCCCCCTTGTTGCTAGAAATATGTATGTGTGAGTTTTTTCCCCCATTAGGGGCAATTATCATGTGTATATATTAAAATTTTATAGAGGCAATTTAGTGATTTTAGATATATATCAATTCATTGAAATGTAATGGCAGTGAAGGTTTTATTATGTTACTGGGGTAAGTTGGTTTATGTAAAGCTTATATATTCTATTGTGTTTAAGGATACTATCCTGTTTTCTTATAATTTATAACACAAATATTTGTTCAGAATAAAAACAAATTCAGAACTTCTGCAAATTTAAATTATAATGTTAGTGAGCTAAATATGTCCCGTTCTTAACTATAAATTGTAGAATCATTAGGTTATTTTGAAGCAGGAATACATGAAAAATTAGCAGTGCCCTCACCAGGACTCGAACCTGGACCTCTTGAACATGCATCGAGTGTGCTACCATTGCACCACGAAGGCATGCTGGAAGGAGGAAGAAAATACCTTTTAAAATAATACTGTGGAGAATCTCAGAATTTGCTGTTCGTAGCTGAACCACTTGGTTTAACAAGTGAAGTTGTGTGCAAGCTTTCTTTTTATGAGAATTCCTGAGATTCCTTTTGGATTACAGTTGGTCTTAATGCCCATTTGCTAGAATGAATTAGTCCTGTTTTTTGTGACAGCCAAACATTGATATTGAAGCTGTAGAGAGGTGATTAGCCTAAATTTAGTGTCGTATGTAGTGGAGCTTGATTTTTATTATATATTTAAGTGTGTATGCCACAAATTATGGATTTAATATTAATTTGATTTTTTTAATGCTTGAAATTTCATTTCCCAATGAAGAGAATAACTCACTGTCTGTCAGTTCATATTGGTCAAATTAAGAGTTATAGTATTTACTTATGATAATGTTAATTGTGCTCATTATTTAGTAGGGGGGACTGGTTCATTGTCGTATATTCTTATTATTGTTAGTTTTATTTTTTAGTATAGTTATAGTTAGTTTATTATAGTTACTTATTACTATTATAGTTAGTTTTATTATAGTTACTTATTATAGTTAGTTTTATTTGAAAACAGTTTGATATGTGCACATACTTTTAAAATCCTTTCTTCTCACTCATGTTCATGTAGTTGCCAAATAATAGCTAACATTTATGTTTATTATGAGTGCTGTACTATATCTTACATAACCATAAAAATCCAGATTTCTAGAAGATGGAAACTTTTACATGTGTAACTGAAAAGAAAGTATTTTAAAATTGTGATTGTATCTGTAATCTCTTTAGAGCCTGTCATGAAATGCTGACCTTTGTTTTGCTCTTTTTGTGTGATGAGAACAGGAGGAGTAGTTGTATGTGTAATACAAAAGGCCATATAATTTTTATGTGATAGTCTGTTATTTGATTCTTAATCATGCAAGGATGATGGTGTTTAAAACTGTATGCAGAATTCGAAATGTATTTCAAAATCCAATGGTTCAAGTTTTACCTATACCAGGATTACTAGCATAGAAGCTTAAAAGGGATTTACATTTTCTTTACGCTAAAGCTGATTATTAAATAGCTTCCAAGATTTTTAACAAAATAATATTGGGGAGATTGCATCATGACAGATTTTTACTGAGTATATAAGCAGTTATGATTTCATGATACAAATGGATCTAAGAGTTAAAATGTTGATTCACCTCTGTATGCAAATGTTTTTTAATTGTCTAATTGAATCAAATCAGTTTTGTTTTCACTATTAAAATTCCATCTATTCATACTGCATTAATATTTATATTAAAGCAGAATTACAGAAAGAGTTGAATAATTTATTTGTGTCATAAAACTTTTGAATCTTTTTAAAACAAAAATAGTACATTTATTACAGATCAAGGAATGAATCAGAATTTCAGGAAACAAGCTTGAAAGCAATGTAATAGAATTAATTAATATAAAAAGAAAAAGTTATTTTGACTTGATAATAGATTTGATATCGTACTTTATGCTTATTGCCATTTCTTGTTGAGCGGAATACCTGAAAATTATAAGGCAAGATATTTTCACTTCTTAGTAACATTTTCATAATTCAGACTGTACTACTTGAAATTTTAATTTTTTTGTTCTTATCATTAAATAGTTTTGTTGAAAATTTTCCTGTTAAAAGTGTAAAAATTTCTGGAAAACTTTTTCTTCTGCTGGACCTTATCTAAAAGGAGCTTTAGTTTATTTATTGTAGAACCATAGAATTACTGTGACAGTCAACAAAAAAGTAAAATTTGTTTGAAATGCAAGCAAGGAGAAAAAAATAGCTTGAGATAACAACACGGATGGCAGATAAGATCTCAGTATTTAGGAATTGTTTTTATACACAACAATGTGTATTTTAATTGTACATAATTAATTGTATGAAATTTAATATTATTAATCTAGATATTACTAAATCATCCATTAAAAATATGTTGCTAACTAACAAAAATACATTAAATATGCAAATAATAATCTTCTGTTTCTCATCAGCTCCTATCAAAATACAAGAACAATGTAAATAAAAACATTGTTTTTTCTGTTTTGAAATACTATCTTCTTCTTTTAATGCTGATTTAATTTACATAACCAACAGATTTTTTTCTCCAAATTGAACTGCTTAAAAATGCAAATAGGTTATTAATAGTATTTTCTGTTAATTAGAAAATAACTTATGCCTCTTCCCACTCCCCCTTTTGTTTTAACAGCTGCTTACTGTGATTTTGAACTTTGTGTACTTCTGTAGATGGTCGTCCACCCTAGCAATTACACTGGCTAATCGGGAGTCTATTGTAGTCATTTGCTTCTTTTTATTATTATTATAATTAGATTCATATTTTTTCATCCTAAATGTTAAAGATTAAAAATCTTTTTTTGCGTTTCCTAATACAAAGTTTTTTTATGTTGCTATTAAAGCAATTTTTATATATTTTCAGAAACTAATAAAAGACTGTACAGTATGTACAACTTTCCTAGAACTTTAATTAACCCAGAGGGGCATTAGATAATTAGCTATTAGTCTCAAAACGGCATTTTCCGTCGTTTCACTTTCTACGTTGATTCACATTTCAAACTTTTGCCACCAAATATTATTGCCATGTATTAAATTTAAAGAAACTAGGTAACAAAAATTCTGCGTGAATGTTTCTTGCATTGCGAAAAAACAATGGTGCCTACAGCCATCTAATTTTGAGTAACGTAGTCCTCCAACTGAACATGGGCATTTGGAAGCCTGAATTTTAAATTTGTTTTACTATCTGTTTCAAATTTTATAAAATTTTAACAAACTTTTGATTAACAAACTCAACGATTTCAAAGCGAGCAATGGCAAGAATGTACGAAAAAACATTTTTATCTCCAGTGCACAAGACTGTGTATCGGAAATTCTAATGATATGCTCCTTTTAAATTATTTTGCAATATTGCTGTTGAACTGAATTTTATGGTTTATGTGCGAAGAACGTGATATTTAGTAAATAAAGGTAACACACAAAACGTTAAAAAAACCTCCCTTTTGGACGTAATGTAAAATCTGAAAGTTTTCAGTCTTCCCCCCCCCTCATTTTAGCTTTCAAAAGTATAGTGAAGCTTCTGCTGTGATAAAAAAATAATAATTCAGATTATATTTTTTCTTCTCTTCTAGTGTGTTCCAATACTAGGAAGAGGATTTGATACAGGAGGTTATAAATGTCAGTGCAATCAAGGCTATGAATATCCTTTTAATGATTATATTACATATTTTGATGGACAAATAACTGAAGCTGAATTTGAAAAGCTGTTAAAAAATTTTCCTAGCAGGTTTGACACTTTAAAATGTCGTATTGCTGGAGCATCTGCTGTAAAAAGTCATTTTCTCTACATTGTTTTTATTTTATTACTTCACAGATTCTTATCTTATGTAAAATATGATTAAAACTGTGATAGCTTTTATTTTACATTCCACTGTATTATATACAGACTTTATATGTTTTTTTCTCATGTAAGAAAAGTCTGTGATTTAAATTTCCTTTTATATTTCAAATCATGAAAATCAAACAATATTGTGGAATATTTTTCCAAGCTGCATAAAGTACTCTTGTAAATATTTATTTCATGTCCTTTCTTAAATTTAAATTATTATTCCGTCCATTTTACAAGATTTGAAGTATATATAATGTTAAATAAAGCTTAGATAAAATTCTCCTGCATAATTTTTGCATATGCAGTGTTTTATGTAATCAAGGAAAGTATATTTTGTATTGTTTAATGCAAGAATTGTTCACATGAATGTATGTGTAATACATGAAACTTTTTGTAAAAATACAAGAATTACCCCCATCATAATTCATGCTTTTGAATTGTTTGCAGAAAAGCAAACATTATTAAAGAAGTTATTGGGAAAGAGCTGTTAACTTCAGATACATGTATTAATCAGGTCATAAAATGTGTGATAAAATTCTTTAGGTCAAGATTTATCATAAGTTTTACCTTTTATTGCATTGCATTAAAATTATGCTATGCATTTTGGCTAAGAAATTGTTAAGTATTAAAATATCACAAAATATCATGGTTATATAAATATTAATAAAAAAAATTTTAAAATTGCTTTCAAAACTATAAAAATGCACTGAAAATTTGACAAATAATATTTTCTGACTGTTGAGCAAAAAAAAAATTTACTTTAAATAAATTTTATGAAAACTACTAAAAGACTATGTAAAAGTCACTTTTTCTTATACAAAATACATATGCTGTTTCTTATCCTTTAAAACACACACACACACTTAATATAAAATGGCTTAGCAATAATGCTAAACATAATAATGCTTTGTGCACAACACAGTTTTACTCGTGTAAATTGAGTTACTGGACTTTTATCGCAAATTTTCTAGAAATATTTCTCTACCAGCTTGAATGTGTTTAAAATATGCTTTTAAATAGCCAGTCTCATATCTGTATAAATGATTACCCATACCTGTATGAATTTGTGTACAGGATTTATGAATTAATGTGACTGTGTCATCTAAGCCATCCTGTTTCTTCAAATTGCATCAAATAACTTTGTTTTTGAAGTTTTTGTGTCACTCATTAGAAAATTTTTTATTGTAATTTTATCATGCAATTCACTTCAGTGCTATCATTATCAGTTCTTTCTTTAGCTGTATGTACTATGCATAGCTGTCATTACCAAGAGACTCACGGTCTTCCAGTCTCCCGATGAATTAATAAATATTCCAGTACTTAATTTTTAGCCTTTACTAGGGAAAATATTATCGAGAAGTTAACGAATCTTATTTAGTTAATGAAATTTGAATTCTACAAATTTCATTTTCTTACCTGTAGTGGTTTTCAGCATAAATTACTAAATTTTATTTGATCTCAATTGACTTAATCTACTGTAGGCATTTGTATAACTTTTTATGAAGATTCAAGTAGGGTTTAATCGATTAATATTTTTTTATTTAATTTCCTTTCACATGAATATGGAACATTGTTAAGTTTATCAGCATAATACTATGTACATTAATAATTTATTTTATTTTTATCGTATTTAAAATTACTTGAGTAAAATCTTACTTTCTAGGCTCAGCATTTTCTCAGTATAACAATGTAAGAAACTTACAAAATGAAATTAGCCAAAGAATGCAAAATTTAAAATATCCTATTTAATATTAATATATTTCACATCAATATCATGTTATAAAAAGTTGAGTAACTTGAGTCATTCATCATAGGGTAAATTTTCATCAATTTGGAGTTCTGAAATGTTGTTGCCAAAAGTGCCATAAATTCCCAGTTTTTCATATTTCAAAGCTGACAGCTATGCATTTGATAGCATTTAGATTTTTTATTTTCTTAAATAGAACCCGGTGTGCTAATCTGTCATTATTATTGTTAAGACCAAAAAGTATCTTAATTAGATGTTAAAAATTGTAATTAGTTTTTATGTTTCATTTTATGTTGTCATTTACAAAAAAAAATGAGAGTGATATATATATGTGTGTGTGTGTTTGTGTACATTTATATATACATGCAGTTTAATTAGAGCCAAATCTTAGCATAGGGGACAGTAGCAGCTGTCTAGGGTTTCAGCTATGCTGTTCTCACGAGTGATAACTAAAAAACATAAATTTCAGTTTGTGTTATTAACGTATTTAATTTGTATGGAGCACCTAATGATTGCCTAGGATGTTAGAAATATTGGAGCTAGACTTGATTTTAATTATTCTTACTTGATGATACTAAATGTTGGTGAGAGCCCCCTTTAAGCTTAAGATCCTTAAAAACATTTGCACATATAATAAGAAAAAAAACTTTATATGGTGAAATGTTTATTACTGTAATTTTTGTGTGCTAAAATAAAGGTGCTGTTTCATATGTGGAATCCAGGCTGGCATTTTATGTCCTTAAGCCTAAATTAACATTCACTTTGGTATAGGAAACAATGTATGGGTATATATAATTGATAATCAAATTTATATATATAATTATTAAAAAGATATTAATAATTTTCATATTAAATTGTGTATACTTCTGTTTTGTTTTGTTTTTGTCTGTATTTGTATACCTCTGTATTCAAGTTCATTTTGAATAGAAAGTAGAATGCTTTTTCTTTTCTCTCCCATGTAAGAGTTGCTAATTGCAGAGTTAATGCAAAACAACATAAATGCGTTTTATCATTTTATTAGTTTGCAGACTGAAATTTCACTTTCATATCATTTTTCTCATACTTATATTTTTATATTATATATTATATTCCCACCTAGATTTGTAGAGGCTTGTTTATATATGTATTTTTATGTAAAAAAATGTTTGTTTTTTAGCTGTACATGGTATTTGATTATATATTTATATGGAATGCTCAACCGGTGGTGGTTATTTTTTATGCTGCGTGAAAAAAGATTCTTGTCGGGTATCTAAAACTTTTTTTTTTTTTTTTTTTTTTTTTTTTTTAATGAAACTGTAGTCTTCTCTACACATTGTTTTTCCTCATTTGATATTCATGTAACTCATTTTAATATTATGAACAGTTAACTTGAGTAGCTTCTGGTATAGATGTAAACTGGGAAGAAAATTTTTTGGATGATATATATCAATAAAGTATTTGATAGAGAAAATTCTTTAACCATGTCTCTAAAAATAATTAATGTAAATATTTTATCGATTTACCCAAAGAGTTGGTGCGTTCATATTATTCAATAAGTAGTCCTTTTATTATTTTGCTATTCATATTTCAATAATTATTCAGTTATATAATACTTTTTTAAAATTTATGAACTCTTATTAAATGAAAAAAAAACTTATAATTTTCTAAATTAAGGGCAGCTATTTTCTTTTTGTTTTGATTTATCCTTTTATTATTGCAAATAGTTATCAACTAGTATTAATAACAGAAACATTCTGGTACAGTTTTTTAATACATTTTCAAAGGAAAAATATGTTATTTGCTTGTAAGTTAAGAAATTTGTTTAATTGAAAAATGATAAAATTCATTGAGTATTGACAAAGTGCTTTAATGTGATATTTTAGTGTTAAATATAGATTTTTTAATATGGTGATGTACTATGTCTTTCACCAAATTTTAATAATGAGAATGCACCTCAGATAGAACTGGCTTTTTAAATATTCAAGGTAATTTGACGCTTTATTTTCATTCTGGATTCAAACTGTCTTAAATATAAATTAATTAATATGATGATGTACTATATCTTTCATACAAGGAGTTTCTCTCTTTCTGAATTTAGCACAAGTGCAAGTGTTTTTTAAAATAACTTATTCTGTCTTTGTTTTAAATGTTTGTTCTTAACTTTGTTTCTGTATGTTTTTATTATCTTTTAATTTGAAAAGAAAATGCATATTCTCCTTGCAACTCAAAATACAAATTCATGAAACATGAATTCATACATGAATGAGTTTATGTATTTATGTACAAAGATACAGATGTGAAATGTGACATGGCATGGTTGGACAAGTGATTCAAGGATAAAGCAGACAAAAAATAGGTTAATCATGTAGCATATGATCTACCGCTTTTATTTATTTATTTGGTACTCTTCTGTCATGAGGACCAGATTCAAAAACGTATGTTTGCATATATGTATGTGTATGCACATACGTACATGTTCATCTAATTAATGTTGTTTTATTTTGAGATTTTTACTGAGTTTTTTCGTACATTGAATTTATTACATTTCTTACAATGAAAGTTTAATTTTATAAAATTATATAAAGAAAAGTAATTCTGAAAATGCTGCCTTTATAGATATCAAGCTATCTGTTATGTTTATATTGTAGTTTTTATTTAGAAATCAAATTTTAAAGTTGTTTGTCTTCTCTTTTTCTTAATCGAAGTTTAAAAAATAATGGTAATCTTAAAATTTTTTTGCAGTTGTTAATCCATTTATGCTAATAACTGGACAATTTTACTGGCCTTTTATTGTATAAAAAGTTATTCCTTGCATTTATATATTTTTAGAAAATGCTTTTTAAATAATATAAAATATTTTTTGTATTTTCCATACATTTTAAAATATAAGATTAAAAATATGTTTGTGATATGAGGTTTTTTTTTTTTTTTTTTTTTTTTTTTTTTTTTTTTTTTATAGTGAAGGTCAGGTGCAAGTGGATTAAGTTATTATGTTTTTAATTTTGTTGTACACTGAAATCTAGTTGTATCCGTCCATTTTGTATTGTTCTGTTTTTAGTTGTTTAATAAACTTATTTTTGGAAATGAAGATTTTTTTAATTATGTAAAAAAACAATCAATAACAAAACTTACCAATTTTCAAATATAATAGTAAATAAAATTTGAGTTCTTCCAAGAATTCTTGGAGGAACTTCCAAGAATTTCAGTATGTATAACAGGACATTGTTAATATCATTCTCTACATCAATTTCGTGCTGAGTAAATTATAAAATGTTTTAAAAAAATTATTTATACCCACAGTAATATGTAATAAAACACCTACACACTTTCCCATTGTTGATGTTAGGACAGCAAAATTCTAACTACATAAACAAGTTTTGCAAGACAAGATTATTTTTAAATATGTTCTTCAGAGTTTAGACATTTTATAAGTGATCAATTAAATTAATGAAGATTTTATTTTTATAGTTTCATTCATAAAACTTTAAGTGAACTGAATACTTTTAATCTTGGTTCTATAGTCTTCCTTCTTACTGAACCTTATACGGAATATTAATTACAATACAAGAGAATTAGAACTTGAATGCAGCAAAATTATTTCCAATTCAGCAGATTTAGTGAGCATTCGGAATGAAAAAGTTGTAGCAAGATGCATATCTAAAAAAAGTATATAACACAATATCTAAAAAAAGTGCAATTTTTTTTTTCCCAGTAATGATTACAAACAGTTCTGTCTGATAAGAGTGATAGTCATCCATAATTAATACACTTTTACAGAGAGTGCATCCTGAAAACTGTCTATGGTCTTAGCTATCAATAGAGCTTAAATTGCACTGGAGCCTGGTAAACGATAATTTTAGCCGGAGCGCATTGGAGCTCTAAATAAAAGGGCTGCAGAACTTCTTTTCTGTAAGTGAACCCCAATTTTAACAGACAACTTTTATTTTAATAATAAATATGCCTTAAAAATACTGGTATTTCAGTAATTCGATTACAAACTTTCAGGAAAGATAGAGTATACCTAGACGATGGAAAATCACATAGCAATGCATGGTCGGAAACGCTTTCCTGGCGTGGTAGTCACAACACAAAATGCAAAAAAAGATGGACATGAACAGGGTGAGAAAGCATGTTTATTATGCTCAGCTCCACCTGAATGCAACTTATCCTTGACTTTGAATCGACAAGGATGGTCCAATGCATCACCTCACTTGCACTGACTACTTTCTCTGTGGTTACGTCAAGACACTGGTGTACAAAACCCCCCGTTAAGTCGGAGGTGTGAGGCCTGCACCAAAGTCCAAGATCGTAATTTCGATGTTGTAAAATTTAATTCTTTCTTTGATGACAATTGTTGTCAGTTTTTGTTTTCATTTCTTGGTTTTTGCTGTACTAAGCATAATAAACATGTTCTCACCCTGTTTGTGTCCTTCGTTTCTTATGTATTGTGTTGTCACTACCGTACCAGGAAAGTGTTTCTGACCTTGTTATGTATTTTTCCATTGTCCATCTGTATATTCCAACTTCCATTGAATCGCCGAAACACTGTGTATATTCCAACTTCTGAATGCAAGCCTCAGGCATAAACTTTGGATGGAGGTAGAGACTTTTTAAGGACAGAAAAGCCCCGCATAAAATGAGTAAATTTTTCATTCCTGAAAATACTGAAAGTGATATCGAGGTATTACGCATGCCACGTTAGTGCCTTTCTGCTGCAGAACTCCCGTAGATTTTTTTGAACAATGTTACTAAATGCGGGGAAATACTACTGTCACAAGCATAGAGGAAGCTCACGTTGTTATCGTATCGTATTCAGGGAAATTTTCCTCTTATCGTCTAGAATTCTATCGATGGAGCATAGCAATCAGAAAGTCTTGCTCTTCCCTCTTTGTTTTCAAAGCTACATTTTTCCATTTGCATTTCCTTCCACATCCTAATACGGTTTCTAGAATTCTCACTATTGTTAGTGACGCTTTAATCGTTTTAATTTTTATTATTGGTGTGCCACAAAAAAAAAAAGATATTTTTAATGTCTCATCCCTTGAGGTGGTACATATATTACGTATAATTAGGGCTTAAATTCAGGCAGAGTTTGGCCGAATAATTGCTTTTGAGTGGAACTGTAATTCCAGCCAGAGCCCCAAATAAAATGAGGCCTGATAATTTATTTTTTATTTAACTATTTACAATTAATTTAATAATTTATTAAATTTCTATCTATCTCTTTACGTTACTTTCAATTTGGGTTTAATTATTTAAATTTTTAGTTATTTATTTATTATTTTTTCCTTCTTCCTGACAGTCTTCCATAAGCCTTCAGACTTCTAATTTCAGAAATTAAGCCCTGGCTACGAGGCAATTAAACGGTAGTTTCTTTCCAAGGTAATACACATTCTAAAGTGAAAATTATTTAATTTTACAATGGATAACACTGGTTTTCTTTTCAAAAAATGTTTATTAACTGTTTTTTATGTACTAGTTTTTTATGTACTTTTAAAAATAATACCTAAAATTTGTATTAAATAAGAATATCTGCCTGATTACGAGACTTCTAATAATTAAAAATTTTGTTGTATTGTTAAGTAAATATACTGCCTTCCAAAAGTTTTTTTGTCTAATTTATGAATGAAGCAACATAGAAACAGAAAATTTAGAGGTCATGTTCATTAAACAGTTCTTAAATGAATGCGACATAGAATATTTCTAAAGTTGTACACAAACATAAATTACAACAAAAAATTGCACTCTTGGCAGTCCAGTGTTAGAGAAATAGTACATCACAATTTTTTGAGGAAAAATGTGATAATAACATTACAAAAATGGATTCTAATAAGGAATGTGTCCACTCCTAGCTGCAACACGTTGGCGGCAGCGATATTCCATGTTGTCAATTAAGTTGTTAGTGAAGTGAGAAGCAACGGCCAGACACGGAGTAATCTTTGTTCAAGCTCATCTAACGATCTTGGAGGAGAACTTAAGGCAGTAACTTGTCTTTCAAAGATGCTCTATCGAATTCAAATCTGGAGATTGAACTGGCCATTCCATCCGCTCCATAGCGTGACCCTCGAGATATTTTTCAGCAACACGATCTCGGTGCAGTCCCGCATTGTCGTCCATCAGAATAAATCCAAGTTCAGTAGCAGCGGCACATGAGCGAATATATTAATCAAGGATCTTGTCTCGATATTTCCCACCTATGAAAGTTCTTCCATGGAACACATGCAGGTCAGTGTGAATACCGAGAGAGATTCAGTCCAAACCATTATTCCACCACCTCTGTAACTGTGTCTTTCCACAATGTGGGATTGACTGTATCTGGTGCGGTGTTCCCTCCAGATCAGCTGACGACCTGAATCACTCTCCAGTACGAATCTGGGCTTCGCCTGTGAAGACAACATACGCCCATTGTTGACTGGTTGAGAAGACGTATTCTCTTGCCCAACATAAAAGGCCACCTCTGTGTTCTCGGGACAAGCAGTGGCGTAACTAGAACTTTTGGGCTCCTATGCAAAAAAATTTTCCTGGGCTCCTTTCCCAATAAATTTAATGTGCTTAAAAATAAATAAATGAATGAATAAATAAAAAACGTGAATATTAAAAAAAAATCAAAGATTCCAGAGCCAATGTTTTCATGATGATTTTTATCACATCTGGATTAATTGTTAAAAAATAAAAGCACGTTCTTAGGGAACCAGTTGAAAGATACGTAACGTGAAGAAAGAATAAAAAGGAAAATAATTTTCTCTTGACCAACTGGTGAAATGAAAATTTGCTTTAGTCTGGTTATTTGACGTCAGATGATTTTAATTCAGTTACTTAAGACTTTTTGTGTGAGTGCGAGAGACAGATTTTTCTCTCCTTTCATTGAGATGCATACTGATAATAAATGAATAAGTCTATATAAAATTAATAAGTTCATATAAAAAAAGGAACATGTCGACGTATAGCATTAAGAAAAAGAAGAAAATATGTCTACTGATTATTCGATTATAATGCGAATTATACAGAAACAAATTAATACATAAAATAAGTACTTTATAATAAATAGTTGCAATTAATTTCCACTTCCACCGCTTTTTGATTTGGGATTGCAAAAGGAGAAACCTTTCCTTTAGGAGGTCGCCTTTAATAATTTTCACGTTTGAGACTAAAGAATACAAAGAAACTTTTCCTATTTTCCGCTCACTGCTATCCCTAAACTGGGGTAGGTCATGAAGTTATTATTTCATAGTCGAATGCTGGAATTTTAACTTTTGCAAACACTTGAATTTAGCTGTTTCAGGTGCTTCCAAGGGCCTCCTATCTGCGTCATACAGAGAATTGCGTTACTGCACCATATAGGTAGGGGGCCCTTAAAAACTTAAAAGAAAACGAATTCTATTATCTACATATACTTAAGGATTCTAAAGCGAAAAGTAAATTGGAGTCAAATCAAGGCTATTCCTCAACTATATTAATATTAACAATCGTGTAAAAGGGGTTTAACACAAAATCCAAACTTATCAAAATTAAAATAAGAATTTATAGTAGTACAAATTCTAAAAATAAAAATGAAAAGCTAAAGGGAAAAAAATACAAGATAAAAAATGTAAAAATAATAAATAATCTTCTTTTATTGAAATTCTAATTTCGAACTCATCAAGGTAAAATGAATTAAAGCTTCTTTATATACGTAATGGAATCCGTCTTTTAAGTTTAAACATGTAAATGTAGTTCAGCAGAACATTTAAGGGCCCCCTAAGCCTTCGGGCCCCTATGCGACGGCATTCCTTGCATACCCTTATTTACGCCACTGGGGACAAGGAGGCAAAAACAACTGGTCTTCTTGCATGCAAAACTGTGTTTAGTAGCTGAGATTTTTCTTAAATGATCTGTCATGAGCTCCTTCTTCGGTACAGTAATGTTGCTCCTTCTTCGGCCCAAAAGAGTTAAATAATGGTCTCGCATAGTTGTTGCAACTTTTGGTCTGCCTCGAACAGGTTTTCTAGACACAGAATCTTCGGATTCAAACTGATTCCATAGTCGGTGCACTACACTGTGAGAGACATTATAATAGAAACATAAATTTGACCCCAGGACATCATGAAT